ATAAATTTGAATAATAGTGGTATTAACTGGGCTTCCCTGTAGGCGCATGGATATTATCCTATCACTTATAGCATTGTACCTCATGACTGATCTGGATAAGGTCAGGGCTAGTATCAAATTAAATCATTGTTGCTTTGCAGCAAGTTTACGAGGATACTGACCCCACATAAAACAACAGTTTTCAGGTGGACCAAGTGTTTTAAGGAGTCCTGTTGTGGCGCTGTAGGCCAAGCACTGGACTGCTAACCATAAGATTGGTGGTTCAAACCCACTAGCTAATCCTTGAAAATGATACCGTGTCGCTACGAGTCAGAACTGATTCAATAGCATGTAAGAGCAACGGAAGTGTTTTAAGGAAGTTGGATTCAAATTTGAAGATGAATTTAAGGCAAGAGAAGTCAGCTCAGGTTACAATAACTCATTTGTTGGAATACACTGTAGGATTAGCACCAGACTGCTAACCACAAGTTTGGCAGTTCAACACGAGCTGCTCATTTGAAACCCTATACAGGGTCTTTATGAGTCAGAACCGAGTTGAGGGCACTTAATAATATCTTGATAGACCTCTCAAAGGACATAGGACAATCACGGGGGTTTATTAGGAAGAAATGCTAAAGAAACTGAAAACTTTACAGGAAAGTTGCACTGAGGAATTTGTTCCCCATCTCAGTGTACCTGCTAATCCTTTGAGGGTAGCAAGGGCTGTCTTAAAAACTTTATTCCATCCTTCCTACAGCCCTTTTGACTTTTTGCTCCCCAAACTCAACATTTAAAAGACACATGAGTTGAGTTCTTCAAGGACTGCAGTTTTGATATGGTGTAAGCTGAAGAATGCAGAATTCCTTGGGGAAGAGTTAGAAACACCTTCAGAAGGGACTAGATCAAGGGGGAGGACATACCACATTTTGACATTTTTGTTTAATAAAGATTTCTATGATTCTGTAGGAATAGTTTTAACTTACTTTTTGTATTAGAGTTTTGAAGATAGTGTCAACTCAACGTGATGCTTAAACAATACAATACTGATTACATAGAAATTATATTCCATCATATTTCTGACTACATATAACTTGCATTCTCTAACCATAAAGGATTATTTGGTAATAACGATATACTACCACTGATAAGAATACCATATATAGTTACATAGAGCTGTCTAGTTACAAATTCATTATTTGTCCACTGTTGAATTTCAACAAAATGTTGAAACCTAGACCTGATTCTTCAAAGGTTATAACTTTTGCCCACTGTCCTGTGCTGTTCTTTCTGGAATTACTTTCTTCACAAATTGCACAGGTAAGCTTTATTAGCATGATGAAAACTTGGTGACAAAGAGAATGAATGAAGATGTACATGTGACTTGGGCAGGGGTGAGATAATTGGGTATGGAAAGATACAAACCAAAGAAGTTTTCAGTAAAATAGGATAATTATCTTTTTGTTAATTATCATGTTTCTTATCAAAATCAAAGTCAAAACATTAATAAAGAGCATAGAGGGCAGACAAGAACAGGGAGCTAATACTCACACATTATCCTTAAGCTGACAAGAAGGGCTCAAGTTAGAAGGCAATAACAGTCAACTATCCATTTCTCTTCATTCCTGCCCTACTGAGACAGTCACCAAAATAGGAGTGGGTCCTGCACTTGGAACTGAAGTCTACAGCTATCTATCAGTATTTTGTGA